TGTGGGATTTTGAGTTAATGCTGAAATAAGTTAAGACTTTGGGGGAGTGTTGGGAAAGCACTATTAGTTTTGAGATGTGAGGATATACGATTTGACAGAGGCCAGGGGCAGAATGATATGGTTTGGGTGTGTCCTCACCCAAATCTCATCTTGAATTGTAGCTCCCATAATCCCCATGTGTCTTTGGAGGGACCTGGTGGGAAGTAATTGAATCATGGGGGTGGGCTTTCCCATGCTGTTCTCATGACAGTGATTAAGTCTCATGAGATATGATGGTTTTATAAAGGGCAGTTTCCCTGCACACACTCTCTTGCCTGCTGCCATATGAGACACACCTTTGCCCCTCCTTCACCTTTGACCATGCTTTTGAGGGCTTCTGAGGTATATAAAACTGAGAGTCCATTAAGCCTCTTTTTCTTTATAAATTACCAAGCCTTGGGTATTTTTTCATAGCCATATGAAATTTTCATAATGTCTTACACCAATGTATTATGGTGTAAGACATTATGAAAATTTTTACATAATTTTTATAATTATAACTCTGAGGGTGATCAGATCTCTGACATTTCTCTTTCTCAAAGGACAGTCAACAGAAATTGCTACTTTGTGTATAAGCACTGTGTTCAATATGACTTGAATGTCTGGCAGAAAGAGTTGTGTAACTCCTTAAGTATAAAAAACAACAAAAGAGCTTTGAAGTCCCTCATGTGTATTTTTAGGGAACAAATATGAAAACTGATCCTGGGCAGAAAGTCCATGACCAGGGTCCTATTATCAGTGGGAAATCAGTGGAAGAGGTGGTAGGTTATTATTACTAGGTTTTATTTTATTTTATTTTATTTTTTCAGCAGGAAGTAGAGAAGATCCCTTACACTGAAAGAAAAAAAAAAGAAAGAAACCTGGTTCAGAGGAACAAGCTCTCAGGAATTTTGATGTCAAATAAGCAGGAATCAGCATGAATTCTTTTGCAGGTGTTTTGAGACTAAAGTAACAAAGATGAATATAGAGAGAATGAAAAGACTAGGAATCAGTTGAAATGTGCACTTCTAGTTTGTAAACTGCTCTATTTACAGAGATGCATCAAATAGCAAAATACTTATAGGGTTGGATGTAAAATAAAAAAATTTATGCTTATTTTAATGAATAGATCATTTTTTGAGGATATGTAATGTATTAAGCTATGGTGTGAATCTAGGGCAGAAGTTGGACACACTTTCTCCATTAGTAATGGAAGTACACCATCTCCTTGAGGTCTGGACTGTAAAAAGTGAATGGTCATCTTATATGATAGGGCGTTTTGAATCCTTGACTGTGGACAGACTTGATCAAAAGCATGCTCAGCTCATAATCTTAAGTGAATCGATGCAGGAACAGAAAACCAAGTATCACATGCTCTCACTGATAAGTGGGAGTTAAACGCTGAGCACACATGGATATAAAGGTGGAAACAACAGATACTAGACTACTAGAGTGAGGAGGGAGGGAGAGATTGTGTGCTGAAAAACTACCTAATGGGGATTATACTCGCTACCTGGACGCAATATATCCATGCAAGAAACCTCCACAGGTACCCTTGTATCTAAAATAAAAGTTGAAATTAAAAATAATAAAACATGCTCAGAAGCACGTGAATGTTCCAAAAACGGAATGCCCAAGTGACCCTGTGCAAGCCCAGAAACTATTCATAATCAACTAGTGTCAACATTCAGTGAAAAAGGAATGTCTAATTACCTTGGTGTAACATACAGAGTCAAAGTGTACCCAGTGAGAGGGACTGTGCAGGGGGTATTTGACAAAACCGATATCAGACTAAAAGTTGCGGCTTTGAATCCCAGTTTTTTATTACCGTAAGACACACAAACCTAATAGGCCTTGATAATCATTGAGGAAATGATTATGAATGAATTAATAAATGAATGGATGGATAGATGTGTTGTTGAACAAGTTACTTAACCTTAATGGCTCTCCTGCCAATTATCTGACATTTACTGGTAAATTTCTCTGATTCTTGATTGTCTATGTTTTGATTTCTTTATGTTCTATGATTTCTAAAATTCTTTAATATCCTTCTCTGTCTTATCAGGTTATTTCTGAGTTCTAACTACCCTACTCTGGTCTCACTCCATTATCAATCAAGCTCTAATAACAGTCATCACAAGCAAAATTATGTTGTCATCTTGTTCTATATGTGCAGTGTGTCAGTAATATGCCTCTCTATTTATTGCCAACTGTAATTACTCAAGTTTAGATAATAACTTTATAAGTGACCTTGATTCCTCAACAAACTGACTGAAAGTGTCTTCTCAGCATAGTGTTGGAACTTCCACCCAGGCACTCAATACTCTAACCACCTGGGTCTACTACCTCACCACTTTTAAATCACTTTGTCTTTGTCTTTATTACAGCTGTCTATCTGTTTTAAATAATGCCCCAATTCCCCAATGCCCTGTTACATACATACACACACACCAAAGTTTTATTTTTTCAAGATCTTTACCAAAAACTCACTCCATGACTGTTTCTCCTTTTCTCTCAGGCAGAATTTATTACCCTTTTGCTCTGGGCTCCAATAGCATTCATCACACTATTGAAATAGGCTGAAGGACAATGTGAAATAAGGTTTTAATCCTGTTTGATTCCCTTAAATCTAGCACAGTGACTATTCAGTAAGTATCTCCTGATTATCATATACCTTGATGGACACAGAACCACATTAAATGAAGTGGTAATTTATAAAATAATTGCCTGCTACTGTCAAACCTTTTCATCATCAAAGGAGGTAAGCCATGGGGAAAAGGGATATAGAGCCTACAAACATATGCTTTAGACAATGAAAAGTAGTAATGAAAAAGCATTAAAAAAGCCTGTTGTCTCTATGTCATGATTTTCCTGCAGAGCACCATGCACTTCTCAGCCCATGTGGAATGCCCATTTTATCACTCATTCTCAGAAAAGCACTGCCATCCTCCCTAGGTTATGTAACTCCAGGCAAGTTTTCAGATTGAGTCCCTAAATATCAACTCCCACTAAGGTACTTGTTAGGCTGTTGGTTCTCAGTGTAGATCAGGGAAAGTATAAGATATGTCAGTTAAATTACATCATACCAGAAACAAGGAAGCTACCAGTGATGACTGGGGTCAAGTCTAAAGTTCTCTGGAGCAAATCAGAAGTGGTTGTCATTGATCAAAGTTGGGATTATTCAGGGAAAATAATTGTAATGGACCAAAAAGATTAATTTTAATAAACATGAGTTCATAATGATAACAGGAAAAATTATTCATCAGCCAACTTGGATATTCAAGTACCAACTCATCATTTTGGAAACTGATGAAGAAGCAAGCCTTTATCTTGATTTTTCTATACCCACTATACTGCAGCATAACTAAACAGTCAATCACAGAAAATTCCTCTTCATAGAAAATGATGGCAAATAAATTAAGAAGGAGTAAAAGAAAATAATTACTTAAAGTCCTTGATAAAATACTGGATTTAGGGAATGAAAATAATGGTCTATGAAATCCAAAGACACTTAAGACAGGTAGCATGGGTCTTTTGATGGAAGTACTTAACATTACCTATGAAGTATTCAGGCCCATACTTGAACCTGAATATGAACAAGTCTCTAGATTCAGCTAACAGTTTACAGGAAATACAAGATGCAAGAGAAAAAAAAAGTAAAAATAAATAAAAGGTCAAAATAAGCAAAATCCATAGGACAAATTACCCGTTTTCTTCCACAAATAAATTAAATGGCAAAACAGAAGAGAGGAAAAGGAACTTCTTCCTTTTGTTTTAAAAAGCCACGCCCAGCTTCCTCACTTTTACCTAACTTAAACTTACTCTCACAGTGTTGCCCTTATCGCTCAGGAATGCAATCACAGGTGACTTACTTGTTTCTCCTAATTGATATAATGAAAACAATGCCTTGTTAATTTCATATTAGCAACTACCACCAGAGTGCCCAGCACAGTTTATAATAGGTTCTCAATGAATGTTTACAGAATAAATAAATGAATAAACTCCAAGCACCATCAACTTGCCATTTATCTTAGTGTTATAATTCATTTTCTTCTTACTAAATCCAGGAGTATGGAGCAAGAGGACAGCAGTGGAAGAAAGATGGCACAGAAAAGTTTTCATATGATTTCAGATAAACGTTTGTAAAGCTTTGTCTTTATGAGTATTTTCAGTATTTGCTGCACATTAGTGTCTCCTGGGAAAATTTTAAAAATACATATAGTTGGTTCTATAACCATACATTTTGATTTATTTGATTTGGATGGGACCCAGAAATAATGTTTTTTGTAACTCCTCAGTTGGTATAAACACAAGGTCAGGATAAATTGCTCTGCATCCTTTTCAATGCCTTTCCATTCCACCATGTCTTCCAAACTCTAACCTCCCATAAGTACAGAGTTCTTTGTTATATCTAAAGATTCTAGTGCAGAGCTTGGTTCACAGTGTTAAATATTTATTGTTGTGTATGTGCCTGTATACGTATGTGCATATGCATGCATGCTCATTTTCATACGTATGTTTTGTTCACATGAATAAACATGAAGGCCCTTTTTAATACAGCATCTTCGCTATGATCTCCTAAGAAGTAAGGGACTCAGGCCATGAAGCCAATAACAGGAAAAATAGGCTAGTATTTTACAGCAATGTAAACATATATTATAGTGGTTAGATATATACATTACAGCTGACTCTTCATACAAGAATAGAGGCAACCTCGGTTGGCAGAATCAAAGATCTGTTATCTTTGTTTTACTGACAAAGCATATACAGATCTAAAAGCCTATCAAAACCTGAACCATTAGGGTGACTGTTAGTTCTCATTGTGATAAGAGTAATGTATATCCAGAAAATACTAGATAAAATAATAAGTGGTCTGGTACTGTCTTTTACTTTTTGTTTACAATATTTTTAATATGATCTTTTATTTGATGGCATAAGAGAGATGAAAAATAGTTTAGATGGCTCAGTCAAGACTTGTGTTTGTGCTCACTTCGGCAGCACATACACTAAACCTGAAATGATACAGAGAAGATTATTATGGCCCCTGTGCAAGGAAGGCATGCAAATTTGTGAAGTGTTCTGTATTTCTCTAGGAGCTGGATTTTGAAAAAAAGCAATAAAATAGACTTCTAGTTAGCTAATAAAAAAGAGAGAAGATTCAAATAAACACAATCAGAAATGATAAGGGGATATTACCACTGACCCCACAGAAATACAAACAACTATCAGAGAATAGGAAAATATAAATTAATTATTAAATTAAAAAAGCAAAATAAATACCTCTAATGAGACAGAAGGGGAAACGTTAACCAAGATAAAAGTATAAATTAATGATATTTAGAAGGTATGAATACAGTAAAACTAATACAAATCAAGCATATGGTTATGTGAAAAAACTGATAACATAAACTACTTAATAAAGTAGGACACAAAAAGAGAAATTAAAAAGTAATATTGAGAGAAATCATTAAGTAGAAAATTCAAATAACTCAATTCTCAACTTTATGTACATAAATTTGAAAATTTAGAACAAATATCTTTTCTTTGAAAGGGATATTACATCCAAACAGACCAATTATAGAAGAAATTGAGAAAATTATAAAGTACTGTGCCTATTATCACTTCAAATGTAACCACCTACCAAATATTTATGGAATAGATACTTCTATTCTTCAAACTGTTATTCTTTTATTGTCTCCCTACTGGTAACCATTGTAAATTTGAAAAATATACTTAAACCTCTATTTATTGTCCTTTTCATATAGACAGTATTTGCTGATTTCTAACTTTATCTTTTAGTGACATTAGTAATCCTATTGTCTTTCACTCCTTTTCACCGTCAACTGCAAAATATTGGTTTTCTATAATTTTTAATCTTAATATGGGGACCATGTGCATTAATTTGTGGCCTTGTAGTCACAAATCTTCCAAATTTTAACAGGTTGAATATAAAAGGCAAAAACAATATATGATGTCCATACTATTGTGACTAGGTAAAGCCACATGATCGTATTTCCTTTCTAGCAGTTTGCCTTGACCCTCTACCCACTCCTAGCCCACTGTCACATATTGTATTGTCTTTCTTTTATTTTCTCATATTTTCTGCCTCTCTGTCAAGTTTTTCTGATGTCTCAACTTATTCTGATGTCTCAATATTATTAAACTGCTTAGGTCCCCTTTAAGGAAGAGCCTGCCTCTGCAGCTGGTAGTGCTATGACAAGCTACCTTTCTTCATCAAACAGCCTTTTCTGATTGCCTCCCATTGACCAAGGGCACACTCTTCAGGAGTGACCCTCATCTAATGTCTCATCCAGGGAGAGGTACAATGGCCCTTTCACTTTGGGCCTAATGCGGAGCGCCACAGACAGACCCTATCCACTCCAGAACTTCCTCTGGGTCAGCTTAAGGTATCCATGCTGCATCACAGTTCCACTTCTCTCTCTGCCTGATGCTACTTCCCCACACCCCTTTTTAAAAGGTGTTAATCTCTCCACAGTTCCTAACAAACATTCCACAATCTAATTTCCATCTCAGTGTCTGTTTCCTGGGAGAACCCACCCTGCAACAATGCTATTTTAGTCTAACCAGCTCATTGGTCAGTAACCTGGAAATACACCATTAAACATAATGCCTATACAGCCTGAAACCACTAGCACTAAAGAAAAATCTATCCAACTTGTAGTAAGCTGTCTTCCTTGGAAACAAGTCAGAGACAACCTAGAAATGCTTCTTTCAGTTTTTTTTTTTCTTTTTTCTTTCTTCTATTAGAGAGCTCTTGTCTCTTCACGGCAGCCATATCCAGCTGCAAACTGAGACAAACGGCCAAAAGGAGAATTTGGCTTAATATGAGACTGAGATGTAGTTCCCCCCTTTTTTCCTACCCCAATTCCTCTTTCCCCACTTCTTGCAACACCATATCTGACAAATTCTAGCCACAGACTATCAACCTGAGTTTTTCTTTTAATTTACTTTTCCTTATTTATATTTTCTTGTAAATGTAAGGGTCATACAAAGACGCTTCATCTCTGAGCAGAGAGACTGTCAGCTCTGGATTGTCAGTTTTCCACTTGCACTTTCTGTCTATTCATCATTTTATACAAACTGTTGGAACCACGTTCTATGGGATCACTAGTACTGATGACTCAGTTGTTCCTCAACATACTTACTGCTGTTTCTAAAACTACAGGTTTATCCATAATTTCCTGTGTATACAGCTTTCTAATTTTAAGAGGGAGATAAATAAAGTATGAAAGTGAAAGATACATTTTATAGAGAAATACAATACATAAATTTAAAAAGACGTATCAACTGAAGAATGATGAAATTCATAAATTGGGAAAGGAGAGCTTTACTTCTCATAAAGGTTGCAGCCTGCAGGTTATCCACTCTGAGAGGCCAGGAAGTGTAGCCTCCATCCAAAAGCCAGAAACACACATTTTGAGGGTCAGAAAAATATGACAGGGATTTGTGTTGAATGGATTGACCAAATATACATATTCAATAAACTATAGAAGGAGTCATGAATATTTATAAATGGAGTAAGCCATGTGCAGTTGAGTTTCATGTCTCTCCATGGGACCCATATTCTGAAAACGGGTTAGCATAATTTGAGGGTATAATTTTCAGCCCTGCGGTGTTAAAAGGTAAAGCAGGGGACATGAAAACCTTAATTGCACATGGGAGGTGGTGTCCAACTCCCATCCTGTCATTGCTGGGAAGTCAGCTTCTAAGCTTTCTCTGAGATCCCCTTCACCCAGACAGAATCCATTCAGTAGTTGGCAGGCTTAGGATTTAATTTTAATTTCTCATAAGTATACTTAATAAAGTAAAAGAACAGCAATCCATGTCAAATGGTGAACTCTCTCCTGAAATCTGCCCTCCTCCAGCCCGTTGATTGACTTGGTAGAATATACATCAACCAGAGTTGGCAGCTCTGTAGCCCTGTTGCAACATCTCATTTAGAGCTGGATCCACAATATCCTGGATCTCCTATCTTCTTTCTTGATTTATTCCCCCATTTGTAGAAAAGACTTCCTCAAGTGGCCTCTCTGCCCTTTTATTAGTGTTTTTTCTGTTATCTGTTTTTTCACTTGACTTTCTTTCACCAAGGTTTTATCTTATAGAAATCTGTTGAAGGTATTCATCTGCAGATAGGTGCTTTTCTATTCTCTTTGAACTTGCTAATATATGCTCCATAAAGCCCCTTTACTAATGCACTGTTTGAGGAGAAAGCTATGCACATGAATGCTTTCTGTCAGCTGGAACAAGAAGTATTCTAAAAAACCATAACCAGTTTCAGCTGAGAGTAAGACTAGGATTCTAGGAAGGAAGAGAAGCTTTCTTTTAACTGCAATTTTATTGAGTTGTTGGAAATGTTTACTGTGAAAGCATACTCCTTTGTTTTTTAGTAAAAGAAAACTAATTTGATAAATGAACAAATATTATACAAGCAACTACTACATTCCAGACACTGTTCAGGACAGTTTTTAAAGAGTACAAGAGACGGAGAAAAACCCAACACCTATTATGCAATTTGAAAAGAAAATTATCATTTCAACAGCACAGCAATTTCTGGATTTGTTACTATACCCTAGATCTGTGGAAGCCTACAGCTTTTTGGTCTGTTTTAAAAGTACAGTAAAAACAATCTTTACAGTGTCAGCAGCTGAAATTTCTTATCTTCATGTAATGTGGGCTTTGAAATATATTTCAATATTTGAAATATATTTGAGTATATTATCTTAGATAGATAATGCTTTAACAATTACACTAATTGTCAAGAAATCTACACTCAATTTTGGATAACTTGGTATGCTTCTATTCACTTTTCAAATATAATAATAAAATGTTAGAGCTGGAAGAGGTGGGGAAACAAACAAAGGCACTAATACTTTGTGAATGCTTACTATTTACCAAAAATCATGAACCTGGATTCTGAAACACCTACTTGAAATCTGAATATAAATATCTCGTCTCATAAGATGTGAATGAGGGCCAAGTGTGCCTAACTTATAGTCCATAATCGGTCAGGTGTATTAGTTCTCTCTGTATTTCCATTTTTTTGGCTTAATTTAAATGAGTCAGGTCATATTCCTATGAGTAGAAAACTCTATTTCAAGAGGACAACTATTTTTACAGGTTGCCAATAGAGTTGCTGATCAATACTTGTCTTTCAAAGGAGAACCTCAATCATATCAGAAAGGGAGTTGTCTTGGGGCCTGCAGAATCAGACACATGTTATAACTTAAAAAAAAAAATTAGCTGTGCCCTCAATCAGGGTGAAAACCAGTCTTGTACTTTTATAATCAGTTACACTGCAAATATGTCCCCTTGCATGTAAGAAAACAAAACAAAACAAAAACAAAAAACAATTGACTTTCCTTATGAACTTACCCTCTAGACCCTTCTGTAACTGCGAGAAAGAGGCAAATTACTAAATCCATTTCCAGTATTCAAAGCATTATTTATTATAAGCTTTGGTGAGATATATGCCATAAGGCATTAACTATTGTTTTTCTCTGTAATGCATAAAATCTTAAAAGTAACTAAATAAGGTTGCTGATTCAGGGGATCCTGCTGTTAATCTCTGAAACATACTTTCAACAATTGAGACCAATTGTCATCTCTAAGCTAAAGTTCAGCTTATTCATAATCTATTTCTTCATTCTATTAGTCAAGTTATATTTATTGAGGATGTGCAGTATGGCAGACACGGCGGTATATATTGCAGTAAAAAGACCCCAAACACCTCCCTGCTAAATAAAAACAAAAAATCCATCTGACAAAGGATTAATAATCAGAATATAAGGAGCTCAAACAACTCTAAAAAAAAAAAAAATCTAATAATCCTTGGCCATGGCTCACATCTGTAATTTAGCACTTTGGGAGGCCAACGTGAGTGAATCACCTGATGTCAGGAGTTCGAAACCAGCCTGGTAAACATTGCAAAACCCCATCTCTACTAAAAATACAAAAATTAGCTAGGCGTGGGGGTGTGCACCTGTAGTCTCAACTACTCAGGAGGCTAAGGCAGGAGAATCACTTGAACCTGGAATGCAGCAGTTGCATTGGGCCAAGACTGCATTGCTG